ACTGATGACATCAAGGAAGCTTATCTACTTGTTAAAGATGAGGCTTAACAGAACTGAAGGCTTGAGAAGCTCTGTTTTATTGTTTTAAGGATTTACTATCATTAATATAGGTGAGATTTTACATATTAATAATATGCAAATGGTGCATTTTCTATGGAAAGTAGTCAGAGAACACACCCAGTGCTGCTTATAATTATTGTTGAAGATAAAATAGTAAAAGGAGTCAAATAAGACAAGGATGAACAATCCTATGGCACTATTGTTGGAATTTCATTTGCTTCCAAGGCACTATACTGTATCTCTAATGTGTAGTAATGTCCACTGAAATGATGGCATCTGGCATTGGCACACAAGTGCTTAGAACAAAAGCTGCCAGTAATAGTGATAACCATCTTTCCCAGATTATTCCATATTAAACAAAATATTCTGAACATCTTATTTTCTATAAAACAACATAACTTGGTATAAAACAGCAGGACCATCTTTCATAGTTGCATTTCAATTTCAATTCATTTCAGTAGTTTAATGGTTGAGTCCATTAAGGGAACATACGTACTATAGTTTCCACACACAGACCATCCAGGATCAAATGGATTTCCCTTTAAAGTGTCACAGAGGTACATCTGGTTATTGTTTAATAAGTACCAATAATTCAGAAGGGAACCATAGAGTAGATTTTAGGTAAAATCCCACTATCTTATGATCTTGGGGTTTTACAGGATATCAATATGTTCTCAGTGCCTGCTTTTAGTATCACTTGATGAGTTTCCTGTGTGCAAACATAAAAACAAAGACATTCTGTATCTATATGAATAAGATAACTCTTAACTGAGGTGTCAACTTGAACTTTTTCTGGAATGAAGCAGAATTTTATGACATTTTAAAAAGGTCACATTTAGCAGAACAGTGTACATCATTGAGCACCACTGACTGTGGTGCAGAGCAGCATCATGACACATACTTCCTGTACTTGCACTAGTATGAGGAGCGAGTGGTTACGTAATACTTGTCAGTGGGTGCACATGCAAGCGTGACTGTATGCATGTGGAATATTACTTTTGCGTCTGTGTCCCAAAAATCTAAAGCAAAATGTAAAAATAAACCGAACATTTAAGACAGGTGTGTGTATGGACAAAAAGCAAGGCAAAAGTACAGTAACACACATTAATACAGAAACCGTGGAAGCAAGCACACACATGCTCATCCCCAGTCACACACTGAAAACAACGTGGATGAGATTTAAGTCACAGTGCAAAGATTATGCTTTGTTTTACATCACACCAAGCAATGAGGTTATTGCTAATAAGCACCCAAGAGATGGGGTGGAAAGGAAACATTACCAACAGTACTGATTCACAACCAGACTAGTTCATTCTTAACAGTTTAGATATTCTCCTGTCAAGAACATAAATATGGATAGAACATGAATATCATTTCAATTCCTGAAATGACTAAACTGACCCTCCACACTTAAGTAGACAACAAAATCTTGCATTTGCAATAGACAATGGGCTTCCAATAAATAAATAAGACCAAAGTTGACAGTCCCAGCTTAGGCCTTATGATATGTGATCATGTTACACTTGATCTCTGAGGTGACCTGTAAGACTTCAAATACAGATATTACATTGGTTAAGTAAAAAACAAACAAAAAAAAAAAAAAAACAAGGTCACCCAAATCCATGTGTAACACACGATTTTGGATTAAATTTCTTATTCAAGCTTCAATAGATGTTTCAGTCAGAATTACAATGCTACTCTTAAGTTGTCATGAATGAAAACTAGTTATTTTGATAGGTCAATAAAATACCACTTTTTCTTTTTCTTCTGAAATTCTTCTCCGTGTGACTGGAGTAGTGGGATTTAATTCAGATACATTTAAAACATATTTAAATAATATCTCTGTAGAATGCAAAATACAACCTAAATTACAACAACCTAGAGTTGAGCCCAGGACGCAGGGTCGCCGTCTTAAACGCCTCTCTACATCTCTTTGCAGCTACTACCCACCCAAAACTCCCAGTACCCCATTGAGATTGTGTCTGCCCCCAACCACCTAAATTATATAAATCAAAAATCAACTCCAGAGGAGTTATTCATAAGAACCTAATTAAAATTAAGACGACTCCTCTTATAGTAGAAAGTAATAGGACAATCAAATGTGGACTATTAAATATCAGATCTCTCTCATCTAAATCTCTGTTAGTGAATGATTTGATAAGTGAACATCACATTGACTTATTGTGTCTTACTGAAACATGGTTACAGCAGGAAGAATATGTCAGCCTAAATGAATCCACTCCACCTAGTCACAGTAACTGTCACATCCCTCAAAGCACAGGCCGAGGTGGAGGTGTGGCAGCAATTTTCAACTCAAGCCTCACCCTGAATCTCTCACACCCAAACTGGGAAACTAAAAAGCCAGTCCTATTTTTTATTGTATACTGTCCATCTGCCCTTTATTCAGAGTTCTTAAACTGAATTCTCAGACATTGTCTGATTTAGTGTGCAGTCAGATAAATTAATCATAGTGGGTGACTTTAATATCCACGTCGATGCTGACAATGACAGCCTCAACAGTGTATTCAGTTCATTATTAGACCTAATTGGCTTTTCTCAAACTGTAAATAAACCCACTCACTGTTTTAATCACACCCTTGACCTTGTTCTGACATATGGCACCGAAACTGAACACTTAATAGTTTTCCCCCCAAAACCCTTTTCTGTCTGACCATTTTCTAATAACCTTCAAATTTACATTAATGGATTATACTCCATATAAAATAAAAATACAATCAAAACTATTAGAGAAAAAATTTATCTAATAATTCCCACAACCCTCACAGATGTGCATTCTACTACAGTGGCTTTAGAATCATCTGTAAGACCTCAGTTATACTTAGACTGCTTCTCTCCCACTGATCTCTCCGAGTTGACCTCAACGATTGCTTCATCTAAATCATAATCATGTCTCCTGGACCCCATCCTGACCAGGGTGCTTAAAGATGTCTTGCCCCTAATCAACACATCCATATTAGATCTGATTAACCTCTCTCTATTAACAGGTTATGCTCCACAGGCTTTTAAAGTTGCTGTAAACCTCTATTCAAAAAGCCTACTCTTAACCCAGGTGTCCTAGCTAATTATAGACCAATATCCTTGAAATCTTTTAAAAGCTGTTGCAAAGCAGTTATGTGACCATTTGCACAAGAATGATTTGTTTGAGGATTTTCAGTCAGGATTTAGAGTCCATCATAGTACAGAAACCGCATTGGTGAAAGTCACCAATGATCTTCTCCTAGCCTCAGACAAAGGACTTGTCTCCATACTTGTCCTCTTAGATCTCAGTGCTGCTTTTGACACCATTGATCACAGCATCTTACTGCAGAGACTTGAACATGTTATTGGGATTAAAGGAACTGCACTAAGTTGGTTCAAATCTTATTTATCAGAAAGATTTCAATTTGTTCATGTCAATGACAAATGTTCCACACAAACTGACGTTAGTCACAGCGTTCCACAGGGCTCTGTGTTAGATCCAATTCTCTTCACTTTATACATGCTCCCTTTAGGTAATATTATCAGGAAGCACAACATAAATTTCCATTGCTATGCAGATGATACGCAGTTATATTT